GAGCAGTTTCAGTGTCAGTACCATGCAGAGGAGCAACAAAGTTTTATTGAGCTTAAACCATTTTATTCATGCGATTCTGATCGGATCCAAGAGGAACCAGAACATTTTCAGCAGCAGGAACCAGTCAGGAGTTGGGAGGAGAAACTTCTAATGGCCTCAACTTGTCAACAACATGGCTGCTTTCAACCAGAACCAGGCGCTGGTCCGCTTCACTATCAGAACCCACCAGATCATCACCACAGATTCATGGAGCTTTACGGTTTCTACTCTGGTGTGATACCAGGTCAGGAACACTATGGATCAGAACCCGTCCAGCAGCAGCAAAAGAACCCAGGCTGGCAGCTGATCGCTCCGACCCGACCTGCGGCTGAGGACCAGAACCAACAGGGAACCAGCTCTGCTGGGTCAGAGCGTCGTTCTCAGACCAACACTGTGAAGTTCAGTAAATGCTACGTGTGCAGTGCCGTAGTGAAATCTCAGAGTTTGAATCAGCATCTAAAGACGCATCCCGGTGTGAAACCGTATGTTTGCAAGCGCTGTGGCGAACGCTTCGCCCAACATGCTCACCTGAGGGACCACAATATGTCCCACCTGGTGGACGACCTGAGAGCGCGGCAGCTGGCCGGAGTCAAAAGCAGACAGAAGAACTTCTTCTGTGAAATATGCAAACGAGGTTTTGCTGAACTTGCTTTTCTAAAAAATCACTACAAAGCTCACAAGTGGGAGCAGCCATTTTGTGAAACCTGTGGGAAACATTTCACTTCTGAACATTCACTCAAGTCTCACCTGAAAATACACCAGAGGAAACGTGCAAAGCCATTTTACTGCGGGTTATGCAAGAAAACGTTTGCCTGTCATTCGACCAAGAAATCCCACATGAAGAGGCACAAAGAACAGGAAGCCTTACCGTCTAAAGCATGGCAGGAAATGTCCAACACCACAAAGCCAGTAGCCAACCACCGAAAAACTCCCTCAGCTGCTGAGACCTTGTTTTGTAGAATATGCAAAAGACTTTTTCTTTTTAGGACTTCTTACATTGCCCACATGAAGTCCCACAAAAGCGCCGCCAACTGTTGCCGAAAATGTGGAAAAGTTTTAAAGGTAAACAGAGGCTGGCAGCCCACAGGAAGTCCCACAAGAAGAAACCAGCCTGTATTTGTAGCAAATGTGGAAAAGTTTTTTCCAAATATGTGAAGTCGGTGCCCACATGAGAAGCTGTGGGAAGCTCTATGGATGTGAGAAATGTGGAAATAGGTTTTCCTCATGGAGGGGAGTCAGATGCCACCAGAAAGCTGGACGTTGTAGGGGAAACGTTCAGTCTGTGAACTAGTTTATTTTATTTTCTTCTGTTCTAGTGATGTTGCAAAGATGAGAAATAACTTTCTGTAGAATATTTGGAAGGCTGTTGTTTGATTTTTGTCTCGTTTTCATTGCAAACAAAATGTTGAATGTTTTTTTCACTGGTTTAGCTGCTGATTGGCTTTGATGGTGTTGAGCCGTATTTAGGGTTCTGATTGGGTCGTTGATGCTCTGACCTCATGTTGCCTGTTGGGGCGTCCATTTCTGGATTGGAGGCTGGTTCTAATCTGGATTTCTTAACAATTAAAAGTTCCATGTTTAACGTTCAAATCATCAGCCAATCCTCACAGGTTTGGAGTTTATAATCTGATATTTAGATGTTAACATGAATCTGTTACTCAGTTTAAAATAAACTGGATAAAAGACCAGAGGTGTCTGTGTGTAAATCAATCTGTAATGGAAGGTTCTGATCCGGTTCTGTTGGATGGTGCTATTCTACCTTTTACTGTCTGTGTTACATGTGTTGGTTCAGGCCAGCAGAGCTTCACCTTCCTGCTCATCTTTAGAAACTTGTGCTGTGACCAACAGAGATGGAGGTTCGACCCGGCAGCAGGAGGTTCTGCTCCACGATGGAGCCATTTTATCCCAGAGGTTTATTGAGTGTTGCCGTGTTTCAGTAATAATGTCTTCAGTTCAGCATCTGAGAGTTTAACTGCTGCTGCTGAAAAAACCATTGACTGAAAACCTCAGAAAACCTCAAAAAACCTCAGAAAACTTCAGAAAATCTTAACCCTCAGTCCGCAACAATAATGTGTTTTCATAAACCTGAAGCTCAACAACCAGCAGGCGGCTCAGCATGGTGGAGCATCGAGCTCCTCGTAGCTAATGATGGTTTTTCTACCTGAATGAAGATTTTCTCCTCTTCTTCATCCTCCTCTTCCTCCTCAGCAGCAGTTAGTTTCTCTCTGATTAAATCCCTCAGATGTTGAGCTGAAGACATTGTTACTGAAATATATAAAACAAGTTTTCTATATGAATCCACACAACCTGATGCTGGAGCCTTTTGTTTAACTGGAGTCACTGAGAGAAAACAGCTGATTGATTATTTACAGCCCAGAACGACTAAACTGGACCAGCAGACCATTTTCAGTCCTGAAACCTGAAATACGAAGCAGGAATATTTCAAAGATATGATTTCAGATGAATATCTTAACTTTGAGCCAGTTCAGTGAGTTCACTGAAGCAGGAAACAAATTCACTAGTAGTTTAGCTGGATAAAAACTCAAACTGTGAGATGATTTATATTTTATGTTCATGTGTTTTAAAAAGTTGGCCAGTTTTTTCTTCAGTGATGTTAGTGAGTTATATGCTCTGCTGTTTAACTGAACACAAAGCTGTTGCCTTGTTGTGATCACCTGACCTCATAATTAAGTGCACCCTAATACAATCCTGCATCAATACCAATGCTCCACTTGAAGCAGCTTTAATTCAATATTCTTCTCTTCTTATTAAATTCAACGTCTCTTTATTGGCGTCACATCAACCAGAAGTTCAGTTCTGCTGTTTCAGGTCGATCAAAATGTTCTCAGCTCTGGATCAGCTGCCAAACTAATGAAATTGATATTTCTGCTTGAATTTAAACAATTATTTGGTGTTTGGCCATAATCATCAATTAAAAATGATTAAAACCATTGATTGATTGGAAGGCTGCTGTTGCTGCTCCAGTCCAGCAGGGGGCGGAAATGGACCAACCAGCTGCTTGGTCTCAGTGTGACGAAGGAAAACAAGACAACAGGAGCAGCTGAATATTTCCATATCTTCATCCTCAGTTCGGCAGCAGCTAGCTGCTAACTGCTAGCAGCTAACTGCTAACTGCTTCCGCTGTTGAAACACAACGTCGTTCACTTCAAGGAAAACAATGTGATGGAAATCAGCTTTACTCACACACTTCAGTGTTTTCAGGTCGGTGTTACGGTTCAATAGGTTTCATGTTAACTGGTGACTAACTTCCGGTAGCGTTGTTGCTACATGGCCGAAGGACCCCGCTTAGCTGCCCTGGTCAGAGCCGGTCTCTAAACTGCTGTCGGTCTCGGGTTAAAATCGTTTCTTCCAGGATTTAATTAGTTATGTTGGTTTCATCAGCAGCTGCTTTAAATGCTCATTTATCATTTGTCAGTTTATGTATTCTCAGTTAACATGAATATTAAGGGGTATAAACCCCAGATAAAAATAGAAAACATGAAATCAAAGGAAGATGCAGCTTTGATTAAACAAATGTGTTTTCCCATTGCGCCTGGGAAACTGACGTCACTTCCTGTCAACCTGTTCAGGTTTGAACTTAAACACCAGATTAACTTGTTACTACTGCTATAAGGTAGGCAGCATTAAAAGGTATCTTATTTTCTAGACTGTCCAGACTTCCTCAATTTTGAGCTTTCATGTTTTCATCTATGACTGGATTATTACAATTATCATGACTCAGATCACAGTGTTTTTTATTCCAAGGACGGTGCCGTTTCAAACCCTTCTGTTTTATGCATTCTGTCTTCATTTGAATTTTTATATGGTTTTATTAGTGTTAACTTGGAATACAAAATCTGATATCAAATAAATAACTATATTTAGTTTCCTCTCCACCAGGAACACCACCCCAAACTGTCAGTGCTGCATAGAGAGTTTCTGTCATATTACTGGACTTCCTGCAGAATGAGATGGTCATCAATTTAACGATGTCCTCCTTTTCCCAAACAGACCTTCAAAAGTCGCATGTCTCCATTAAGAAGGAAGCTTCCTCCCTCCAACATCTCTGCAGCGCAGGCAGGAGGCCGAACCACAACCAGAGGGAAGAAGAACCTCAATGGACTGAAGACAATCAGATGGAACCAGATCCAATTCAATGGATTAAAGAGGAACCAGATCCAATTCAATGGATTAAAGAGGAACCAGATCCAATTCAATGGATTAAAGAGGAGGAGGACGACACAGGAGATCCAGTGACAGAAGAAGAAAAGGAGGAAATAATGTCTTCATGGGCGAAAGAGAAACAGATAAAACCAACACCTTCACTCATCGAAAGACAAGAGAACCCAGACAGTCATAGGATTAAAGAAGAAGAGGAGAAACAAGAATTACAGTGGATTAAAGAGGAAGACCAGGACACAAAACACCCAAGTTTGGAGGAGGAAAATGAGGAACCAACATCTTTATGGGCTGAAGAGGAACAGAAGAAACCAGAACCTGCACTTAATGAAGAACAGGAGGATCTAGAATCTAAATGGATTAAAGAAAAAGAAGAAGCAGATTCAATATTGATTGTTGAAGTAAAGGAAGAAACAGATTCTTCATGGATTAAACATGAACAGCAGGAACTGGAACATTTTCCAGCTGGGCAGGACCAGAAGGGCCTCTGCAGCAGTGAGGAGGGAGACAAGCTTGTCCCGGAGGAATCTATCGCTGTGATGGACTCTTCTCTTCAGGAAATCTCCAGAAAAGGTTCTGGAGAACCAAGAACCGAACAAAGTTTGTTTCATATTTCTCCTGCAGACAGTGAACATCAGGAAGGAAGCAGCTCCACAGAGAGCAGTCTGACACAAACAACATGTCTTTAAAATGTGACATTTGTGAGAGAGCGTTTAAGAAGAGGTTTAACTTGAAAGAGCATTACAAAACCCACACTGGGAGAGACCTTATTGTTGTGAAACATGTGGAAACGTTTTTCTCGATTTGGTATTTTAAAAGTTCACAAGCAAACTCATACAGGTGAGAGGCCTTTCTCTTGTGAAACATGTGGGAAAACATTCTTGCGAATTTATAACTTGAATCTTCACAAAAAAGTTCACAGCGGTGAGAAGCCTTTTTCCTGTGACATGTGTGGAAAATCTTTCTCTCGTATTGATAATTTAAATCTACATAAGAAAAGGCATGCAGGTGAGAGACCTGTAAAAAATCATGCAGGTGAGAGACCTTTCTCTTGTGAAACATGTGACAAAAGTTTCTCTCGAATTGATCATTTGAAAACTCACAAGAACATTCACACAGGTCAGAGACCTTTTTCCTGTGACACTTGTGGGAAAAGTTTTTCTCATATTGGCAATTTAAGTATTCATAAGAAAATCCATACAGGTGAAAGGCCTTTTTCTTGTGAGACGTGTGGAAAAGGTTTTATAAATAGTTCGAACTTGAATGTTCACAGGAGAACTCACACGGGTGAAAGACCTTATTCGTGTGAAGTTTGTGGGAAAGCTTATTTCATCCGCAATCACTTAAATGTTCATCAGAGAACCCACACAGGTGAGAAACCTTTTTCATGTCAAATATGTGGCAAAAGTTTTATTGAGAAGAGGAAACTGAATTATCACATGAAAAGGAAGCACAGAAGTAAGAAATAGTCATTTGATTCTCACTGGTTAACAATATATATTCAGAATTTTCTTAGTTTTTTTTTTGTTGTATATTAGAAAAGTGAAATACTAATTAAGCTTAAACATGAGTGGGAGTGAAAGTGGGTTTAACCCGGTTTGTGGGTGATCGGCTCATTCTGTATAGTAGTTTTACTATCAGAAGGTTTTTTGTTTTTGAAAGCTTCAAGTTGGAATTTTATAATAAATGTTGAATTTAAACACTTGAAGACAATTTGTTTTATTTTAAAATTTTTGCTTGCATTAAATTTGAAAGTACCTTTTTAGTTTCAGTGCAACAGAGATCAGAAGAATATGATTTTCCTGTTTGTTAGGAAAAGCTTTTTGAGATTAAAGCCTAAAATTAATTTATCAACTGTGGAATAAAGTCAAAATGATGAACAGCAGTAACCAACTGCAGATTCTCCAGATTGATGAAAGTTTTTGGTCCAATTTATTTTTAGACAGTTTACAGATCAGAGGTATGAACACAGTCAGCAGTGTCTCCATAGCTACAGGTTTAGGTTTATGTTTAATATTAAATATATAATAATAAATGTTGAATCACTAATAATGAGGGCTACAGGCTGCAACCTGCTCTACTAGCTTTTGTTTTTTTGTCTTTCAGAGACGAACCCTGAAGTTTTATGGTTTCAATCACTGAGGTTTCAAAGATGGAAAGTAGAAAAAGCAAAGAGCTGCAGAGGAAACTGGAAACATTTGCAGCTAAAGGTGCAAAACTGAGCAACTTTTCCATAACAACAAAAACGTTGCTGTATGTTAGAAAATCTTTTCTTTTCTAATATGCAGCATCATTAGACCAAATGTGGTCTAATGATCATATTTGTCGTTAGTAACGTCAGATGTGGATGAAGAATCGGGCAAAGCAAGATATATCAGTTTGTATTAAAGAATTAGAATATTGTGTGAAAATGCATTATTATTTCTTGCCAGTCATCTCAGAAAGGGAAACATTGCCAGAAATCATCATCCATAGAGACGTATTCCTGTAAGTTTGATGTTTATGTTTCTCAGATCATAAAAACTCAAAATTCTGTCTCAGAATGTTTTCAGAAACGGTGAATGATGTCATCATTGGAGTCTGTCAGATCTAACCAGATCAGGAAGTCAAACAGCTGCTTTCTCAGTCGGTCAGTCGGATTCACAGGCTGCTGACGGACAGATGGACACAATGCAGGAAACTAGAGGATCAAATGTCATTTAATGTTAAAGATTCATCTCTGTTCTGAAAACCAATGCAGTGAAAAAAGCTGCTTATTTCTTTATTCTGAAACATTTCAATAAAACCATAAATAACAGTTTTATGGTCGTCCTGTAAGTCAGTAACATGTCAGGAATGTCAAATAAATCAATATATCAAACGCTTGTTCAGCATTTGGTGACAGAAACAGATCAACTTTCTCATTTAACATTCAGAAGTCTAACATTATGAAAATCATGTCTTCATAAAATCAGATCAGAATGTAAAAACCATTCTGATCCTTAATACTTGGAATTATTTAGTATTAGTTAAAGTTTTACTCAGGAGTTTTAGGTTTGCATTTTAGAGCCTCGTTGATCCAAAGCTTTCATTTCTATTGTTTTGGTTGAATTTCACTATAAAAGCTTATTATCTAATATCATTTTATAATGAAATGTTTTATGAACCTCAGTGAGCGTCCCAAACAGCACAGGAGCTTTTCCTCCTTTGATTCCATCTGAGGCTGTTGAATCTGAATTTTGATGCTTGATGGATCGTTTGGTTTCAAACTGACGTGAAAAATAATCTGCAGACTGATTCAGGTGAACAGCAGAGGCTTTATTCACAACCAAGATCATTGGTGTACAAATTAGAATGAATCTTATTCAAATCATAGAACTATTACGACTTGATGTGTAAAACCAGACAGATAAACATCTACAGATATTTATACTTCATCATAATCTACTGTCCTGTAAAAACCACAGCAGCAACAATCACAACCTAATTTAATTTGATTCCTGTGTTTAAATTCAACATTATAAAACCAAATGTGCATCTTATTCAAAAACAAAGAGAAAAACTAATAAACATTCAAACATTTTGGTTTTCACAGTAAAAGCCTGAAATTAATTTATCAACTGTGGAATAAACTCAAATATTTTGAAGAAAAACATTGAAAAATCAAATAATGTTGTCAACAACCATCAGCAGTTTATGAGCTTTAAAATAAAGTTTTAAAGTTATGAACTGAAACTTCAGTTTATCATCGTTGGTGTCAAAAACTTTCCCAGTTTTCTCTGCAGCCCAGTGGAGATGATTTAAGTTCCCAAACATCCGACAGTATTTGAACTAAACTTCAGCTGCTGGACAGATGGACCTGCTAGAAGACTTTGGTTGTGAAGAGTAAAAGGAGCCCACATCACCAGCCCTCCACCACCATGCTGGACTCCATCTATGAAGCAAAGGTTTCTGAAAATGTGTTTGTCCATTCAGAGCTGCTGATTCAGAGGCGTCAAAACATCTCACCTTCATTTCTAAGCATGTCTAAATCACTAACTTTATAATACACTGTAAAAACAGAAAACTACCAAGAAAACTTTCAATATTTCTAACAGAGAGTCAGTCTGAGTCTAAAAGCATCAAATACGTTTTTTCCACCTCGGGCTTTTCTGGTGCACATTTCATGCAGAGATTTCATGATTTGATTTGCTGGAGATATTTGGATCGGGTCAGAACATGTTTATACAGGAAATGTTTTATTCTAGAAGCTCTTCACAAAGCTGTCCCAGGAGAAAGGCCTCTCCCCTGTGTGGCTTCTCCGGTGCATATTTAATAAATAACGCCTAGTAAAACTTTTCCCACAGATTTCACAAGAAAACGGCCTCACACCTGTATGAATGTTCTTGTGGACATTTAAATGACCGATTTGAAAGAAACTTTTCTTGCATATCGAACAAGTAAAAGGCCTTTCACCGGTGTGGGTTCTATAGTGAACATTTAATTGAGAACGTCGAGCAAAACTTTTACTGCATGTTTCACAAGTAAAAGGTTTTTCTCCAGTGTGGGTCATGAAATGCTGTTTTAAGTCATATTTGTTCTTCAGTAATCTCCCACACATGCCGCAGCTGACAGGCCCTTTCCGACCGTCACTGTGGGTCTGAGTCTCTGACACAGTGGAGCTGCTTCCTTCCTGCTCTTTGCTCTCGGCTTCAGCAGAGACCTGGAAGGAAGGACGCTCACTTCTCGCTTCTCCTTCACTCAGATCCCGACTCTGGAGGGTGAAAGTCTCCATCAGAGCAGCAAACTGCTTCTGGTCGAGCCGTTCTCCCTCCTGACCGCTGCAGACGTGCTTCTGGTTCTGCCTGGTCGGTAAAGGTTCTGGTTCCTGCTCTTCAAAATCAAACACTGCAGATTGTGTCTCCTCCTCTTCCTCTTTAATCCATAGAGATCCTGGTTCCCAATGTTCTTCAGTCAGTGGAGGTTCTGGTTCCATCTGTTCCTCTTCAGAACAAATGACTTTAACAAGAGTCTGGATGAGAAGAAATAAGGAGTTTATTAAAACTTTGTAAGGTGAGAACAGAAATACAGAGTCAAGTCTGACCAGAACCTTCTACGGGTTCTGGTCAGAGCAGAACCTTTTATAGGTTCTGGTCTATAGAAGGTTCTGGTCTGAACCTGTAGAAGGTTCTACAGGTTCTGCTCAGGCGTTCCCTCTGGTTCTCTGGGTGTTTCCAACAAGGATTCTCACATTAGTTGCTCAGTTTTCTGCACCAAGGATTCAGTGGAGCCCAAACTGATGGTCCTGCCATCTGTCTATTGTTAAGCACAGGGTTGTTGTTACTGAATGGAAGTTTATAGGAGAGCAGCTCAACGTATTTCATGATAAAATCCTGCAGACACAACCTAAAGCCCTGGTCCTCAAGGCTCTCTGTCCTGCATGTTTCAGACGTTTCCCTGCTTTAATGTCCCTCATTCAACTGATTGCAGTTCAACAAACGCCTGTTAATCAGTCATCAACTGAAATCAGATGGACCGAAGCCTGGAAAACCCTAAACCATGCAGGGCAGGGATCAGGAGGACCAGGCTTGGGAAACATTGATCTGAAGCACCAGAGGGATGAGAGGAACATTAAAAACGTTTCCATTACATCAGTCCACTGAGACTCAGCTCCATGCCTGGACCTCTGCTCCTGCTGGACGGCAGCAGCTTCCTCCTTCACCGACACATGAGGATCCTGGAGGCCTGTGGGGACAAAGGAAGGGATCATTAATAAACATAGATTTATTGATGACTGTCTGATCTATCAGATCAATAAGTGATCAACAGATTTGGAGCTCTGGCAAAACAGTGTGTAAATAAAATGCAATATGTCAGTGACATCTGGTGCAGAGCAGATATAATATTAACACACTGTTACTTTAATGAATGATAAATGGAGTGTAAACCAGTTTAAAGCAGTAAACTACCAGTTCCAGGATGAACTCTGACCTCCTGAGCCATTAAAGAACACATTATGTTTTATTGACACAAAGAAGTAAGAATATTGGGTTAAGGTAAAATAAGCCAACAAATACTTGATGTATTTCACATCAGCAACTTCAGACAGTTATCAGAAACAGCATCACTTCACCGTCCAACTGCAGTGAAACTGTTTCAATCTTATTCATCAAGTTCTTTGGATTAAACAGAAACTATGATTCACTCCATCAGGTCACATTTCAAACTCAGACAGGTTCTGCTCCCAGGACTGAACCCTGGTTCGTACCCCTGGTATGGCTGTCAGTGCATCTCAGCAGCTTTATCTGTGGGCTGGTTCTGCTGACACAGAGATGATAACAGTTTGTGTTCAGTTACTTTAATGAGACTCTGAGGGGATTTAAGTGGAAAATTGAAAATCCAGCAAAAGGAGGATCAAATAGCAGAAATATCAAAACCACAAAATCCTCCTGAAGTGCATCTCACTTAGAAACAATATTAAGAAGTGAAACTCCTCAAATGATCTGTTTTCTGATCAGATATGACCGAAACTCTTTGCATCATTAATCTTCTTTTACCTCCATCTTTCTCCCTCTGTCTCAGATTAATTATCTGCAGTGAAAACATTTGATCCAGACCCACCAGAACTTTGTCTCTGCAGCTCCGAACCGACTCTGTGTAGCTTAATGTCTGGTTTCCAGCTGATCCCCATCATCCTGCGCTGAGCATCGAGCTCTTCCTCGTAGCTAATGATGGTTTTTTCAACCTGAGTGAAGATTTCCTCCGCAGCAGCAGTTAGTCTCTCTCTGATAAACTCTCTGAGATGCTGAACTGAACACATGTTTGCTGAAATACCAGCAGAAACACGATAAAACAACCGTTTTCTAGATGAAGCCACACAACCCGACACTGGATCCTTTTGTTTTACTTCCGCTGAGGTCACACTGACAGAGAGGCGTTTACTGGACCACTTCCGCCCCCTGCTGGACCGGACTGGAACAGCAGAAAAAGACAGTTCTCTGAATCAGAACTGAACCTTTTCTTCATTTTTGGGTTTTACGAGACACTGTTTTTTATTAGGTTTTACCCAATGGTTTAAGCCTTTAGGAAATTTAATCCTATTCACTGAAGAACTGAAATATTTTCTAAGGGTTTCACAAAAATTCAGCCACCTCTTGAGAGCCATATTCTGGGTGTTAGTTTGTTGCGTTTCTTTCCACAAAAACCATACAAGTAATTATTTGGTGCACCAAAAATTTAAAGAATGAAAAAGTTCAGGTATGTTTCAGGTGACGTTATGCTGTTCCGCTCCAACCAACTGATTTATGGTGACATCCAGCCAAAGGAAAACTAAAGGATTTACTATCAGGTTGTGTGGATTCATCTAGAAAACTGTTGTTTTATCGTGATTTTCCGTCACCCGTCACCCTAACGGGGTCAGGAGGTGCTGGTGCCTCTCCAGCTGCGTTCGCCAGTCTGTCGCAGGGCAACACAAAGACAAACAGGACAAACAACCATGTACACACACACACACACACACACACACACACACCTAGGGAGAATTTGGAAAGACCAATTAACCTGACAGTCATGTTTTTCGACTCCGTGCCGAAAGACCCCGGGCCGGGAATGGAACCCAAGACCTTCTTTCTGCAAGGCAACAGCGCTACCAACTGCACCACTGTGCAGCACACCAAACACTTTTTAAAATTTTTGTTTTTGCTGTAATTTCTTTGCTATTATATTGACAAAAGCATATTATTATTATTATTATTATTATTATTATTATTATTATTATTATTATTATTATTATTCATTGATTACAAACATTAAATGTTAACCATCATTTTTAGTTTTAAGATTTTGTCTTTAATGTTTTAATTTCTGTTATAACATCAATCAGATCACCAATCACCTGGCAGAGACACTAATTGTAAAAGAGTGACACAGATATAGTAGGAGAAAATTGACCTTTGGCTGTTTTTATTTTAAAACGTTTATAACATTACAACATGTAAATAAAGTTTTACCTGACTCACGTCTCCACAGGATTATTAGAATATAACAAGGATAATGAAGCCCTGAAACAAATAATAACAATATTTACTTTTATTGTCAGTTAATATCTGCTCTATTAATAAGTTTACAGAAGTTCTGCTGCTGCTCCGCTCCAGGCCAGCAGGGGGCAGAAACGGGCCAATCAGCTGCTTTGTTCCAGTGTGACCCAAGCGGAAGTAAAACAGAGCGACTCCAGCAGCAGCAGCAGCGGCAGCAGCGGCTTTGTGTCGTTTTATTGTTTGTTAGCTGATGTTTGAGTCACCATGTGTTCAGTTCAGCAGCTGAGGGATTTTATCAGAGAGAGACTAACTGCTGCTGCGGAGGAAATCTTCACTCAGGTAGCAAAAACCATCATTAGCTACGAGGAGGAGATTAAAGTTCTGGAAACCTGCAGGAATGAAGCTCAGATAAAAACAACCGGAACCGGTACGTTAAAAATGAACAGATGAATCCGTTAATCAGAGAAACTTCCTTGTTTGGAGAAAAATGTTCGTTTATGGAAAAGTTTCGCAATCAGAGCTCCATGGCGACACCTGCTGGTCCAAGTCAGAAATCGAAAAACCGATTAACATTAAAGCGAATTCATTTTCAGAGGTGACTTAATAAATGGCTGAAGTTTGTAATTAGTAATTATAAAGTGATCATGTTTATTTTAAAATTATCCCTCCAGAGGAAAGATGATCAGATCTTTGATCCAGTTGTTTCTGTTTCATTCTGTGGTTTATTCAGTGATTATGAAGACATGATGTGATCAGTGGCTCTGGATGAACTGTTTTTGTTCATCCGGTGTTTTTTCAAGCAGACATTTTAAGTTGCCAGGTCTGTTTCCCAGAACACACTGAGTGACTCTTTTTCGCTGTTTCTTCCTCCATAGCTGCTAATAACAATTAGCTTTCATCAACAGCTCATTGGTGGAAGGAAGTGAGAGTATTAAAATATTAAAACTTGATTTAGTAAATCTTTGAGGCAGATAATTTATGGGAGTTTTAAAAATGGTCATAATTAAACCAAATATTTGATCTGGTATGTTTTGTGTTTCTCTAGCTGTCCCAAAGCAACAGGAAGATGAGGAAGATGAGGTTCTCACTGGCAGCCGGCTCTGCAGTCACATGATGAGTTTAAATGAGAACCAGGAGGAGTCTGAGCCTCCACAAGATGGCGACAGCAACCAGGAGCTGGGACATCAGCTGCTGAAGGAGGAACCAGAAGCTCCTGGTGTGAAAGAGGAACGGCAGGAAGTCTGCTGCAGTCAGGAGGGACAGAGTCTTCATTTCACTCAGACTCTGCAACAAACTGAATTCAGTGAAGAAGAAGCAAACATTGAGCATCTGGACTCTAACAATGTTTCTGCTCTGGAGAACCAGGATGAAGCAGGAAGCTGCAGTCCTGTGTTAGCGAGTTGGGCCGAATCGGTCCCAGATAAATCCTGTGAGTGTCGTGTCTGTGGGAAAGCCTTTAAATCTCAGTATAACATGTTGCGACATCTCAGAGAACACTCAGGGGAGAAGCCATTGCGCTGTAAAATATGTGGAAAGGTGTTTGTGCAGACATGTCATTTGAAAGAGCACTTACAAATGCACACAGGTGTCAAGCCCTTTTCCTGTGACACCTGTGGGAAAAGCTTTACCAGGAAATCCAGCCTGAAAGTTCACAGGAAAGCTCACACAGGTGACAAACCTTATTCATGTGAAACCTGTGGGAAACGTTTCAGCAGAAGTTTTTGTTTGAAAGTTCACAGAAAAACTCACACAGGCGTTAAGCCTTTTTCATGTGAAATCTGTGGGAAAAGCTTCCGTGAAAAATGGTATTTGAAATTCCACATCAAGACCCACACAGTGGAGCAGCCATATTCATGCCAAGCATGCGATGAAAGCTTTAATAGTATGAATGAACTGGTTTGTCACCAGAAAGTCCACAAACCTGTGAGGGGTTTCTGGTGAGGTGTGAAGGTTTGAGGTTTGAAAGTTTGAAGGTTTGAGGTTTGAAGGTTTGAGGTTTGAAGGTTTGAAGTGTGAAGGTTTGAAGGTTTGAGGTTTGAAGGTTTGAAGTGTGAAGGTTTGAGGTTTGAAAGTTTGAAGGTTTGACGTTTGAAGGTTTGAGGTGTGAAGGTTTGAGGTGTGAAGGTTTGAGGTGTGAAGGTTTGAAGGTTTGAGATGTGAAGGTTTGAGGTTTGAGGTGTGAAGGTTTGAGGTTTGAAAGTTTGAGGTTTGAAGGTTTGAAGTGTGAAGGTTTGAAAGTTTGAAGGTTTGACGTGTGAAGGTTTGAAGGTTTGAGGTTTGAAGGTTTGAAGTGTGAAGGTTTGAAGGTTTGAGGTGTGAAGGTTTGAAGTGTGAAGGTTTGAGGTTTGAAGGTTTGAAGTGTGAAGGTTTGAGGTTTGAAGGTTTGAAGGTTTGAAGTGTGAAGGTTTGAGGTTTGAAGGTTTGAAGTGTGAAGGTTTGAAAGTTTGAGGTTTGAAGGTTTGAAGTGTGAAGGTTTGAAAGTTTGAAGGTTTGACGTTTGAAGGTGTGAAGGTGTGAAGGTTTGAAGGTTTCTGGTGAGTCGTTTCTCAGTTCTGCTCCAGATGTTTCCGTCATCCAGGCGTTTGCTTTCACAGCCATGATAAAGGTACCAATCAGCTGCAGCAGTTAATGTTTAACATTTTGAACATAATTCTCCCATCAATACGACCAAAAGGTCCATACAGTTCAATATTAATGTATGTGAATCAGGAGTCACCAAAATGGGATGAAAGGAAAGGATGTCGCCATGGTGGCTGATCTTCATATGTAGATGAGGTTGGATGAGACTTTAACTGAACCATAATGGTCCAGTTAAAGTCCGTGTTCCCTGTGGTTGATGTTCTGATGAAAAACTTAAACATTTGTGTTTTTCATCAGCTTTCAAAGACTCTGATGAATGAAGCGTTTCTCCTGAACGACGTTTGAATGTTAAATATGTTTCAACATTTATTTCTGTTAATTGATTTCTAAATGTTTGACAGACTGAACTTGATTGTTAAGCAACGTTGTAAAGTTCTGATTTTGTTCAATGTTCTGTGAAACCTTGCGTTGCCCTGGATGTCCTCAGTGAATAAAGTTGCCTTGTTTGGGGCCGATTCTGACCGCTTCAGTTTATGATTTCAGTTCAGTTTCAGCTCCACATGTTGAGTCCTGATGCAGAGAAACCAGTTTGTCCCAAATCAGCACCAGTCAGGTTCTGGAGTCACAATATCAACAATAATTCAAAGCTGCCAGCAGTGTTGATGCTGTTTGCATAACTCTGGTTAAACATTGTGTTGATATTTCTATCAGCAGATGCTGATCATCTGCCTCGTCAGTCACATTTTGGTGTTTTGTCATCGGTGTGGACGTGTTTTGAGTGATGTTTCTACTCCAGAGCTCAGAATATCCACAGGTACTTTGACATAATACCTGAGCTCAACCTGGTGTCTCTGCACTGCTGCGACTCACAGCATAAAATAAGAATCTTTCTTTTCCCTTTTTCCCTTCTTTTAACGAGACAGATTCCAGAGCAGCACAGTTGGTTTTTATTTAGATTGACCTGAAGCCAGCGTTGGTTGTGACCCTGCAGCCCTGAGTGGGCCTGACCTCTGCATGTCTGGATGTCCTGATGGTCAGTGACACAACCTGTGAATACAGGCAGGTCTAAATCTGAAAGTATTATTGGACTCACATTTAACACGTTTTATTAACGAGGAGGGACTGAAGGAAATGAAAAGAACTTCTGCTTGATTAATTTCTAGTTGATTAACAGTTTAGAGAAGTTCTGCTTGATTAATTTCTAGTTGATTAGTAGTTTAGAGAAGTTCTGCTCTGGTTCAGAGAATGTGATCCATTTGGCTGCAGGCTGCAGTTCCCCTGCAGGCCAGCAGGGGGCGGAAACGGACCAATCAGCTGCTGAGTCTCAGTTTGACCCCAGCGGAAGGAAAACAGAGCAGCTCCTTCCGCTGGTTGCTTCGTGTTTGAGCTGATATTTCAGTCACCATGTGTTCAGTTCAGCAGCTGAGGGATTTTATCAGAGAGAGACTAACTGCTGCTGCGGAGGAAATCTTCACTCAGGTCGAAAAAACCATCATTAGCTACGAGGAAGAGATTAAAGTTCTGGAAACCTGCAGGAATGAAGCTCAGATAAAAACAACCGGAACCGGTAAGAAATCACAGAAACACAAAGTAATAAATGAATCCGCGCGATGAAAATGCAGAACATTCAGGAGTTTGTTTCTGATCCGGTAGAATAAACAACCTGGATGAAACTCGGGCTTTAACTGGGCCGGTTACCGAGTCACCATGGCAACCAGCTGAAACCCAGCACGCAGCATCATCAAGTTATCAATAACTAGTCAGAAAAGAAATCCATCAACTTTCTCTACAGCTCTGCTTGGATCTGATATGCTTTATTTACAGGCTGAGGAAAATTTATCTGAACTTTTCCTCTGACTGATTCAGGACATAAACCATGAAGAAATGAATGATCCCTATTGGTGCATCATTAATGATGTCATATGACGTCATAGAAACTGCTAACAACTCACTGCAGTCTTTGGTTGATTTGCTATAAACTGAGATGTTTTTAGCTTTTGGAGCAGTTTAATCCATTAAACTGTTTTTAAATAATATGAAACAAATTTTACTCATGTTACATCCTGAACACATTTCTGATCCTATTTTACTTCTTAAACCCAGAGCTGGTCTCTGCCTGGCTGACAGACTGATGAAATCTCTGAAATAGAACCGTCTGACAACACGAAGTAGGCCAAAGGTTCTCAGAAAGCAACATACAGAAATGAAAGCACAGCTGATGAAGTCCTGAGGAGAAACGGCGGCTTTTTCCTGACGAACCTGCAGCTCCATGACGGATTTCACTTCACAATCTCCATCATTTCTTTCCCCTGCAGAGCGCCCAAATCATCGTTTCCCTGGTGAGGATGGGGTTCAGACTGACCAGAGCGCCGGTGAAGACCCGGCGGAACCAGAACCAGAATATTCCTGGTTGAATCAGAACCAGCAGGAAGCAGAACCTCCACAGGAGGAGCCGCGATGTGCAGAGGTTAAAGAGGAGCTGGACGAACCAGAACCTCCGACTGAACCGGACCGGGAGGCGGTTAAAGAGGAAGAAGCCGAGCTGCTGCAGATTAAAGAGGAGGAAGAGGAAGAGGAGGCGTGCGGCGGCCAGCAGGTGGAGCAGTTCATCCTGAAGCAGGAGCACTTCGATTTCACCGAGCCTCTGAGTCAGGAAGCCGACGTCAGCGAGGGAGAACCCAACATCCAGCGTCTGTACGCCGTCAGCTTCCCTTCGGCTGGGAACCAGAGCCATGAAGAACGCAGCTTCCCCAACACCACGGCGTCCGCCGCCGATAAATCGGTCAAATGCGACGTTTGTGGGAAAGTCTTTAAGAAGAAGCATCACTTTAACCGCCATCAGAGGATCCACTCAGGCGTGCGGCCGTACGCCTGTACGATCTGCGGGAAAGGCTTCACGCAGAGCGGCCACCTGAAGAACCACATCCGGACCCACACCGGCGAGCGACCCTTCTCCTGCGACACCTGCGGGAAAAGTTTCTCTCAGGTGGTCAGCCTGAACGTCCACATGCGGATCCACACCGGCGAGAGGCCGTACGCCTGCGAAATCTGCGGCAAAAGTTTTACGGTGGTGACCAACCTGAACTTCCACAAGGGAACCCACGCGGACGAGAGGCCGTTCCCCTGCGAGACGTGTGGGAAGGGCTTCGGGAACTACACGTCGCTCAAAGCCCACCGGAGGATCCACACGCAGGGCCGGCTGCATTTCTGCGAAACCTGCGGGAAAAAGCTTCACCAAAAACGCAGCGCTGAAGGTCCACATGAGGACGCACACGGGCGAGAGGCCGTACCTGTGTGAACGCTGCGGGAAGTGTTTCATCAGTAAGGGGGACCTGAAAGCTCACGTTAGAACGCACACCGGCGAGAGACCGTTCACCTGCAGCACCTGTGGGAAAAGTTTCATCCAGAGAGGAACTCTGAACGTCCACATAAGAGCCACTCTGCAGGAACAAACGCCAACGCTGACTGAACAGACGGTCACTTTCACTCGGTTGTCTTCACATGTCCACATGTCTCAAACAGCTGTTTGACCACGTGGAGATGAGGAGAGTACGGTGGGTCTTTCAAGAGATGGAGGATTCTAAAACATGAAAACTCAGTGACCTGAATGTTGATGTGAGGAACCCGGACCGGTTCTGGTGGAGATATAAGGCTACGTTCTGTTAGCTTTGTCTTAAAGCTCAACTCCATTTTTAATTCCACATGCTGCTAATTTACGTTCAAACGCAGTCAGATTCGGTTTGCGGCCCCAAAGCGACTCGCCTGCGTGACATCAGAGTAAAACCTGAGGTCTCACATGATAAACTGTCTGTTGGCTTTTGGGTTAAAACGTGTTTGTTCTTCATTCAGTGAAGCTCCAGAGGAAAGAGAAGTGAAGCTAATTCGAACTTTGACCCCAGAGGAGCGGCCTTTGGATGCACCGTCCCAACATGAGACTAAGATCCCAAAACCAGCTGACAGTTTCTGAAATCTACCTGGAATCACCTCAACATGCCACGCATCACAGCTGTCACCATGGACACGATGTTAGCTCGAAGCTAAAGGTCTGAATATAAATTAGCTTCATTAGCTCCTCCAGGGTCACTGCGGGTTCATTTATGACATCATCACACATTCACCCAGTCGCAGTAATAAAATGAACTGTGAGACATTTCCCAGCAACATCATCAATCAATCAATCAATCAATCAATCAATCAATCAATCAATCAATCAATCAATCAATCAAATTCTATTTGTATGGCACATTTCAGCTGCACGGCATTTCAAAATGCTTTACATCACAAACACAAAGTCGTCCAGTGGAGGTTCTGATCTTTACAAAAGGTTCACTGGTTTCACCGGTATCTAAATTGCATAAACAGAAGGAAAATGATCAGGAAACCATATTGCAGTAAATTAATGTCAAACGATTAAAGTCAGGCGACGGTTTGATGTGCCGGTTTGTTCATTAAAAGCAGCTTTAAACTGAAGGATTTTTAGCTTCGGTTTATAGTTTCATTGCTTGGATTTAATGATGTTACTGACAATAAATCTGTTTGATTTTACTGAAGAAATATTTCTGATCTCAGAAGTTTGCTGTTGGTTCTTCATCAATGACCTGAAATCAGTTTCAGGATGTTTGTGGATAAACTCGTTAGCTGCAGAGACATTTCTTCTGCATTCAGAAATGCATAAATTCACATTTATCTGTATTTAATCTGTCTTTTGTTAAACTCCAGGTCTTGGCTGGGAGTATCAGTGAGGTGGTTGTTATTTTTTATAATCCCATTTCTGACTTGTAATCCAGTCACAGATCTCCTCCCATACGTTGCCATGTTGTTTCGTGTTGCTTGGCGTTTCTGTTCTGGTCTGTAAATAACTGATGTTTGGCTGTTAAAGCTGCTGATCAACCAAAGACTGACGGCTCATTTCTAACCTCACGGCTTTAAGTGGGAACATTTTACCAACAGCTGTTGCACTTTTTCATTTTTGTTTGTATTCTACCTGATTTGCATGTTTCTCATTTGCATTAAATAAAATATGTATCTGTCACATTAAACTATTAAATATTAAAGATCTGAAATGACTTGTCACGGTTTGCATCACTTTTCATAGCTGAGAGCTGCTGTGCATTAAAACGCAACATGTCTGTTTGCAAACTGAAGAGGGAGAAACTGGAATAACTGGGAGCAGAAGAACATCCCATAATAACTCCTGGATCATTTATGAGGCTGTGTGAGATCACAGCAGCTTCCTGAACGATTCTTTCAGTCGATGCTTTTATCTGTCATTGTTACATTAAGGCGAGAACCACAGCTAACATGGAGGCTGCAGAGCACAAACCCACACAGCTGCAGGAAACCAGTCTGATTGGCAGATTCAAATCTGCTGAATGTTGGAAACAAACTGTTTATATTTTTATTGAGACATTGAGGCTGTTGGGATTTTCACCTGAGCTTCTTTTGTCTTTATTTTCACACATGTACGATCTGGTGCTGAAAGGTTATTTGTTCTTATGGAGATTTTTATTAAAACTGGTTATACTTGGATATAACCTAAGTGCTAAAACATTTGAAAATATTTACAATAGTTTAGATCAGAGATCTGGTACTTTTACAGTCCAAAGAGCCATTTTTGCTCATTCCAGCCAAATAACTAATTTGAAACAAATATTACACCATCTTTGGAAAAACAACTTACAAATGATCTGCCAAGGGACACAGTTTTATTTATGTCTTTTAGGGCAAAGAGAAAATATAAAACTTTAGCATTTTATTTTATGGGTTATTTATATTTCTGGAAAATTATGTTAAAGTACATTTTTCAATCTAATGATGAGAAAATATTGCTGATAGTTTTAGTATCATTCTGTCTTATTAATTTAGTTATTCCATGAAAAAAAAGTGAAACTCCTGAACCCTGCACTTGTTATAATGCATATTTTAAAAAACATTCGCAGTATCTTTAGCTGTGTATTTAAGCCCCAGTTGGTTTCTCTGCCATTCTGCTGTTCTCCTCCAGTCCTGCAGGCGGCGGTAAACGGACCAATCAGCTGCTTTCAGCGTCACCGAGCGGAAGTAAAACAAACAGAGCAGCAGCAGCAGGATGGTTCTGTTTTCATCCCTTTCCTGGATATTCCAGTAATAATATTTTAGTTTGCTCAGCTGGGAGTGTTTAAGGGTTTAAAGAAAAGCTTCTAGTTGGAGGAAAAGATGGAGGATTTCCGCTGGAAACCCGAAACTAACCCGCAGAGAGTCGGTACGTATAGAACCAGACGGGCCGTTACAGCTGGGAATGTAGAGATAAACTACATAGAAAGCGTCGTTTCCTCTGCTTATGAAGGGAGATATCTGTATTCGCTGCTTTATAACCTTAGAGCTCACGTTCCCCCGTGACGTGGATTTACTGGGGGAGTTACAGATCATCTGGTGTCCAGTTTAATTTGAGGTTCTACTGTGGGCGTGGCTTTTCAGGACCCATTTCACCGAAAAACAGAAACAACTGCAAACACGGAGATGAACACATTTATCAAGATTTAAGAAAATGATTTGCAGAACTAATATTTTAAATAATATCTGCAAATCACCAACACAGTCTGTTGATTTTGTGACGTTTCATCAGTTAAAGATCAAAATGGATCTGAATTTTACCAGAATAGATCCTAAATGTTTAGGAGAGTTAAATAAAAGCTTATGAACAATAACTGACTTTATTATTATTCATTTCTCCTCATCCTGTATATTAAATGTTTATTGTGATGTGAAACAGTAACTGATTATCAAAAAAATTAGGTTTTGATGAACTTTTATTTCCTTCTCATTACAGAATAATAAATAATTATGATATAATTTAATTTGTCACTGTAATCTTCCAGCATTTCTGTGTGTATTTTCACACCATATGATTCAGATTCTCCAGAACATTTTGCTGCTGACCGGCAGTCTGCAGCTTCACTAAGCTGAGAACTGATTATTCTGGAGAACCGGGTCCTAAAGAGTTCACTCAGAATATTGCAATAATGCAGTTATGAAACAGAAACCTTGATAATTTACAGTTCAGAGGCCATGAAGCTGAGCTTGGAGTTTCAGCTGCTTTGCTTTTGGTTCTGGTGGTTCTGGTTCCTCTGGTTCTGTTCTGGTTCCTCTGGTTCTGTTCTGGTTCCTCTGGTTCTGTTCTGGTGGTTCTGGTTCCTCTGGTTCTGTTCTGGTGGATTCTGGTTCCTCCTGGCTGCTGCAGCATCAGAGGCCGACAAAAAGAAGAACTCAAGATTTAATCTGATTCACATCAGTTTGAGTCATTTAGAATAAATTGGACTCTGTGATTCGTCAATATAAACAGTTTGAACTAAAAAGTTAGAAAATTGTTTTGGTTAAAACTCAGAAATTTAATTTCATCAAGTTGATTTAGCAACAAGACACAACTTGTCTACACATTGTTTTTAAACTCCTGATAGCTCAATAATCTTAGATTGAGTTGTTTAAATAATTCATAAAGATAATAGTTATAGTGCAACCAGAATAAAGATGAACAGAAGAACAGCAGGAGCAGGAGGAGGAATGAACGTCTCTGTTTTGCTCAATAGTTACAAAGTTCTGCTGATAATTTGATGCTGATAAAATATTTTCTTCTCTGTAAAAGTTCACAAGATGCTCAACATGGATTCATTGCCAGTTCTAATGTCACCAGTAAAACCAGTGGAACCAGTGAAACCAGTAAAACCAGTGGAACCAGTGAAACCAGTGGACTCCTTCAGTACAGACAGTAATTTGGGGGCTGAGTGCTTTATTTATATTTTTATTTCAATCATTAAACAATCAGGAAGTTAACGTCTGATGTTTTCCTTTTTCCTTCAGATTTTCTAAACCAGCTTGTTTGGACCCAACAGAACTACTTTGTTCTGGACCAGGAGGAAGTCAGATGTCCAAGTATTACAGAGGAACTGGTGGAACCAGAACCTCCAGCTTTTAAGGGGGAACCAGTGGAACCAGAACCTGCAGCTTTTAAGGGGGAACCAGTGGAACCAGAACCTCCAGCTGTTAAAGAGGAACCAGTGGAACCAGAACCTCCAGCTTTTAAAGAGGAACCAGTGGAACCAATGGAACCAGAACCTCCAGCTTTTAAAGAGGAACCAGTGGAACCAGAACCTCCAGCTGTTAAAGAGGAACCAGTGGAACCAGAACCTGCAGCTTTTAAAGAGGAACCAATGGAACCAGAACCTCCAGCTGTTAAAGAGGAACCAGTGGAACCAGAACCTCCAGCTGTTAAAGAGGAACCAGTGGAACCAGAACCTGCAGCTTTTAAAGAGGAACCAATGGAACCAGAACCTCCAGCTTTTAAAGAGGAACCAGTGGAACCAGAACCTCCAGCTGTTAAAGAGGAACCAGTGGAACCAGAACCTCCAGCTGTTAAAGAGGAACCAGTGGAACCAGAACCTCCAGCTTTTAAGGAGGAACCAGTGGAACCAGAACCTCCAGCTTTTAAGGAGGAACCAATGGAACCAGAACCTCCAGCTGTTAAAGAGGAACCAGTGGAACCAGAACCTCCAGCTTTTAAGGAGGAACCAATGGAACCAGAACCTCCAGCTGTTAAAGAGGAACCAGTGGAACCAGAACTTCCTGATGCTGCAGAGGAACAAGATGAACAAGAACTGGCAGATCAGAGGGAACCAGAACATTTACTGATCAAAGAGGAACAAGAGGAACTGCAACTTTCACACATTAAGGAGGAACCAGAACCTGCAGGATTCGGATCAAATCGAGGGGAACCGGAACATTTAGTGATTAAAGAGGAAACGGGACAACCAGAACCTTCAGATATTAAGGAGGAACAGAGTGAACTGGAGCTTTCATGTAACAAGAAGGAGGATCCAGAACCTGCAGCAGAACCTGGAGCAGAACCAGCAGGACATTCAGAACCGTCCCAGTTTGCAGTGGGCCATGATGAACCTCCTCTGCTGTCCTTCCTGATCCACAGCAGTCAGCAGATCCAGCAGCTGTTGGTGACCCACTCGGCCGATGGGTTATTGGACTCCTGGTCGGGTCAGAGGCGCAGCTCTAAGGAACCAGAACCAGGAGTGGATCAACTATACAGTCAATCCGGTTCTGAAGCTCAGGGCTGGAGTGAGGCAGGAAGCAGCGGTCCTGTGTGTGACAGCCGGGTCCACTCCGACCCAGAACCACCGGTGAAATGTGACGTCTGTGGGAAAGTGTTCAGGTACAAACACAGCCTGGTGGAACACCAGGTCGTCCACTCAGGCGTAAAGCCGTACGCCTGCGAGACGTGTGGGAAGAGGTTCACGGAGCCCAGCGGGCTGAAGGTCCACATGAGGATCCACACCGGGGAGAAACCCTTCATCTGCGAAGTCTGTGGGAAGAGCTTCCGCTACAGCAGCCACTTCCATGTCCACCGCCGGACCCACACAGGGGAAAACTCCGTCACCTGCAACACCTGCGGGAAGGTCTTCACTCGGATCTGCAGCCTGAAGGTTCACATGAGGTTTCACACGGGCGACTGGCCGTTTTCCTGCGACACGTGTGGGCGGGGCTTCAGTAAACAGCTTCCAGCTGGACGTCCACAGGAGGACGCACGCCGGCGAGTGGCCCTTCTTCTGTGAGACGTGTGGGAAAGGATTCTGCAGGCTGTCCACTCTGAAGGTTCACAGGCAGACGCACACAGCCGAGAGGCCCTACAAATGTGAAGCCTGTGGGAAAAGTTTCCGTGATCCTTCATATTTAAACGTTCACAAGAGAACCCACACAGGGGAGAAGTACTTCTGCTCCACGTGTGGGAAGAGCTTCACCCAGCTGAGCAGTTTGAACGTCCACATCAGGATGCACACAGGAGAGCGGCCGTATCTGTGTGTGACGTGTGGGAAAACGTTTCATCAACAGCAGCCAGCTGCGCATGCACAGCAGGATTCACACAGGTGAAAAACCGTTTTCCTGCGACGACTGCGGTCAGCGCTTCTCCAGGAACAACAGCCTGGTGGTTCACATGAGGATTCACACCGGGGAGAAGCCCTACCAGTGCAGGACATGCGGGAAAAGCTTCACCCAGCACGGCATTCTGCAGATCCATATCAGAACACACACCGGGGAAAAACCCTTTTCCTGTTCCGTATGTGAAAAAAGATTCAGTCAGAGCAGCGGTCTGACCTCACACATGCAGGTTCACACCCACAGCAGGGGTCCTCCTCTCTGAGCCTGCACAACGTAGATCTACAGGTTAAAGACTTTCAGTCAACATAGATCTGGAGGGAAAATCTGGGTTTCATCAGATCACTTCCTCAAACTTCTGGTTAAATTACAGGTTGTGTGAGACAGTTTGAAGTTTGGTTTTAGTTGGAGATATTTTTATTTCTGCTTTCAGTTTCATTAATATAATCTACAAACATAACAACAAAGAGTAAAACATGACAGAGAGATAAACAAGTTTAATTCAAACGAACCAGCGGAGGAAACATCTGCAGTGTCACATTTTCTGTCTTCTTTATTGAACGTTAATGTTTCTCTGAACGCTTTTCTATTTGTAGTTTCATCTTTGTGACTCCAAGCTGCCTGGTTTATCAAAGGAAGTTTAAATAAATGACTTGTTACACTAAACTTAATTTTTACATCATAAATTCTGACTATAAACTGAAATGCTAGTTTTGTCTTCATGCTAACAGCGCGGCGTCTCCAAGGTGAAGATGTTCAGTCACCAAATGAACATCCATCATGTGTTGATATCAACATGGAGACGTTTCAATGAAGTCCAGATTGAAGATATTAAAAACTCACAGGCTTTTATTTAATATGAAATATAATTATACCCAAAACATTTGGGTTCATTTTCTATTGAACTGTTAAATATTTTACTGACTAAAAGATGAAGAATTTCATTTAGGGAATAATTAAGATGTTCTCATGAAGACGTGTTTATTTGTGTCCTTCCTCCTGTATAACTAGAACTTTTTGAATGAAAGAGTCTTTACTTTGACTAGACCATTGTAATCCTATCTGTAAATAAAAACAGTTTTTTATACTTGTATCTGTTCTGCCTCCGTTTTCTCAGGTTCAGTAAAACCTGCAGCGGTTCTGGTTCCGTCTCGGCTCTGGGTCATAATCTGCTTTCTGTAAATAATCTGATGCAGATTGTAGCTTTGTGTTGAGTTTTTATTTAGTTTTTATTTTCTCTGAGATTAAAATGTGAATTTCAGCAAATGTTGCCTTGAGGCCTCAGGATAACAAGTCATTGATCTTTGAATCGATAAATTGACAAATCATTGGTTTTATCAGTTTGTCTCCAGTTTATCAAAGAGCGATGAAATGCTGCGAAATGAGAAATGATAATAAAATATATAAATATTTAAGCTCAGTTTTGGTCGATTGTTATTTCATTAACCGACAGTCAAAATGGCGGTTCGGCGCCATGGAGACCAACAGCCACTAAATCCTGGCTAACTGGCCACTTTATTAGGCACACATTGCTACAACAGGACTCTGGACATTTTCAGAGCATGTTGGTAAACCTGACAGAACGTTTTCAGTTCGGATCTCAGGAGATGAGCAGCTTCAGTAAGACAAGCTGAACTTTTACCAACAGACACATTAAATCAAACCAGCCGCCTTTCATCCTCATGTTTACTTTAAATTGGATCAAGATGAGAATCTGATGAACCATTTAGTGTCCAGTGAGAAAGTAAAGTCTGTTTATCATAGTTTCATCAGCCAGGATCGAACTTTAAGATCTTAAAGAGGCAAAAATCACAGAACAGATCAAACATCACAGTGGACAGTTCAAAATAATTCATCTTTTCCTTCAGGCATCCCATAATTTCAGAATCAGGAAGCAGCATCAATGAAACTTTGACTGAACCACAGATGTAATAATAACAACCTGAACTCATTTCACTGATATCTGAAGGAGTAAAGCAGCAGCAGCGCCACCTGCAGGTTGGTCCCAGTATGATGGTGTGGCTGTGATGGTCAGACTAGAAACTTAATAAAGTTTAATTCAAACCAATTACACTTTCGTTTGAATTAAACTTTCGTTTCAGTGTCTCTAATGTCTAACCCAATAGCGCCACCTGTGTTGATTTTTTTCCCGATTCCATTCTAGAAGTTGAAAGCAGCAGCATCTTCCTCTGATGATCCAATCAGCATCTTCCTCTGACCGTCCAATCAGCAGCTTCCTCTTCTTTGGGCTGCAGGGGCTGATGGGAGCTTTGGTTCCTCTGCTAGAAACCACGTGGCCCTGGTCTGATCTCTCAGCTCGTCCTTGTTTGGCCTCAGCTGCATCAGAGCCACTTCTCCCCAGGTTCACCAGAGGAAACACCACTGCACACAATGCTTTTCCTCCCAGCTGCTGCTCTGTGCTGGCTGGGTTCAGGTGAGTGTTTCCAGCCAATCAGGAGCCAACACCTGGAACAAACACTGTCACACTAACCTTCACCTGTCTGTCTGTCTGTCTGTCTGTCTGTGTCTCTACAGCGCTGGCTGCTGTGGGAACACAGCTGGTTCAGAAGGACCTGAGTCTGACCAGGAGAACCGGGGAGAGCGTCTCCTTCAGCTGTGAGACTGGGCCGTGTCGTTATGAAGTAGTCTGGTACCAGAAGAAAGATACAGAAACATTCAGAGCTATTCTCTATATCACCAGTGATGATAGCACAGAAAAACCTTTCAATCATCCCCAGCAAAATGATTTCTCAGCTGAGAGAAATCAGAACAGCTGTGAACTGAAGATTGAAAATGTTGCAGACGTTCATTCAGCCTCCTACTACTGCAGCTGTTGGATCTCTGGTCCCCACAGTGAGAAATGATTCGTTCTGAGCCTGAAAAAAACCTCCAGATGATCAGATGTCAGTTTGTGACATAGAGAGCAGTAAACCACAGCCCAGGTTCACTGATTTCACCTCCATCTCACACAGAGACTCTCTGAGTCTTTAATGTTTCATCATTTTATTACAATAAACTCTGAAGATTTTATCAATTTGTTGGATTTATTCAATAATTGATGGTTTTCATTCCTATTGTTTCAGATACAGGATCAATAATGAGATCATCAATAATGAGATCATCATCCTCTTCATCACTAATAGGTTTGATATTAATATATTGTAGAGAAAAAACACGTTCAGCAGATAATTTTAGTTTATTTTATAAGTCAAGAAGCTTTGGGTCCATTTTTTATTCTGGTTGTTTCTGCTTCTCAGAGGATCCAGATGGTTCTGGTGAGTTAAATTATTGGACCTACATCAGGTCCAATTGATCAGTAATAAACTATTACAGATCATCAATAATCAGTTCTGGTCTGGGCTCCTTTTGCATGAATTCCTGCATCAATGTGATGGAAGAGACCAGCCTGAGGTTCTGTTGAGGTTCTGCTCAGGTTTTGTTGAGGTTCTGCTCAGGTTCTGCTGCGGTTCTGCTGAGGTTCTGCTGCGGTTCTGCTGTGGTTCTGCTGAGGTTCTGCTGAGGTTCTGCTGAGGTTCTGCTCAGGTTCTGCTGAGGTTCTGCTCAGGTTCTGTTGAGGTTCTGCTCAGGTTCTGCTGAGGTTCTGCTGAGGTTCTGCTGAGGTTCTGACGAGGTTCTGTTGAGGTTCTGCTTCGGTTCTGGAAGCCTTCGGGTTGCTCTGTTGGTTCTGATTTTTCTCATTTTCCTCTTTACTCCAGGTTCTCTCAGGGGTTAAAGGTCAGGCCGGTTTGCTGGTTAATAAAGAACACCAGTTTATGGGAGTTTGGATCGGAACCAAGCCCTGAAGGTAAAGTCCAATCAGTTTTGTGTCCAGAATGTGTGGGGTCTGCAGAGAAGCTAGCTGCCGTTTTCCTGACCTTTGACCTGCTGAGGTGATGAGAGAGTTGATCTGGTTGAGCTGCAGGTTCTGATTGGATCAGTGCTGGACCAACAGGGGCGGCTCTAGACGGGGCCCAGAGGGGCCTCTGGCCCTGATTCGGCCCTTGACTGATTGTTCTTTCCACTTTATAAAGTAAACTCTCCTTTACATCCAACATTTAAGTTTTAACATCATTTTTATTATCAATAACCAATTGATCAGTGATCAGTGATCAACTGTATTTATGGGCCCTGAAGCTTTGGGGCCCCAAGCAGCTGCTTAGTTTTGCTTCTGCATTGGGCCGGCTCTGCTGTTCACACTCTTAGTGAAGCTGCAGGTTTTCTCAGAGAGTCAGAAGGCAGCAGGTCAAAGGTCATGACCTCTGCTGTCTCCATTCCACCTGATAAATGTGAACTTCATGGTACCATCAGCCTCCAGGAAACCACAGACCTCATGCTGCATTCATGACCTCAGGAAACCACAGACCTCCATGCTGCATTCATGACCGTAGGAGATCTCAGACCTCCATGCTGCATTCATGACTGTAGGAGATCTCAGACCTCCATGCTGCATTCATGACCTCAGGAAACTACAGACCTCCATGCTGCATTCATGACTGTAGGAGATCTCAGACCTCCATGCTGCATTCATGACTGTAGGAGATCTCAGCAGCTGCAGCTCAGACTGTAGAACCAGGAGACCCACTGGGAGAGACTGGAGCTTTCAGACAGGATGTCTGCAGAACTTCCTTCAGAACCACTTTGGACCTTCACAGCACATTTCTGATGGTTCTGATCCACCAGAACCTCAGCGGGTCAGTTCTGATCCACTCAGAACCTCAGCAGGTCGGTTCTGATCCACCAGAACCTCAGCAGGTCGGTTCTGATCCACCAGAACCTCAGCAGGTCGGTTCTGATCCACCAGAACCTCAGCAGGTCGGTTCTGATCCACCAGAACCTCAGCAGGTCGGTTCTGATCCACCAGAACCTCAGCAGGTCGGTTCTGATCCACTCAGCAGCCGTGTTGAAACTCATGATGGAGCTGAAACCTGATTCTGCTGCATCATCTGGACCGGTTCCCCTCAGCCGACCCGGTCAGCAGCAGGCTGGTTTCTGTGGAGGATACTGGTACCGCTTTTGGTTCTGGAGCCAGACTGGATGGAACCGGTAAGAACCAACACTTACTGGGTTTCAGTGGAGATCAAAGCAGCTGAACTTTGTTGTTGGAAGAGACGAAGTTTCCTTTCAGTGCAGCTGTGATGATATAAACAGACTCATTTCTGATAAACACTTTAATCCTGAAAACTGAAACTTTTATGAAGCTGCAGAGAAAATATTGATGCATTAAGACACAAAAATCAGCCGACAGGTTTTTGTATCAGCTTGTTTCATTGTGGGATGAGTGATGGCCGTGCCTATCTTTATCCCATCTTTGGATCTGGAACCAAACTGTATGTAACTGGTAAGAATCAACATTTACTGGTTTCACTGGAGTTAAAATGTTAAAATGTGTTTTATGTTTTTCTGCTGCTTCAGGATTTTCATGTTAGTTTTTATTATTAATAGAAAATTAATCAAGGAAACATCAACAGTTGATAAAACTTAAATATATAGAATAATATCTGTAAACTGTAATATTTGCTAACATTGCTAATAAAAGTCTAAATTACTGTAAAATATTGTTTATATGTTAACTCAGTGCTAAAACTCAGTGTTAGAAACATGTTGAACTTTATAAAATAATTTGACTATTTTAACCAATAATAGAGAGTTTCTGTAAACTCTCAGTAACTCTGCAATATATTCTGTAAAAGTCTAATTATTGTAAAATATTCTTTATAGATTTACTATAAACTTGAGACTAACAGAGAAAAGAGATAATAAAACCAGAAACAGCTGAAGGGTTTTTGTATCAGTTTGTCTCACTGTGGGTTGAATGGATCTTTGGTTCCGGAACCAAACTGTATGTCATCGGTAAGAACCAACATTTACTGGTTTTCATTATAGAGATTTGTTTTATAAAATGTGGATTTTTATGAAAACAAATGTAAAATTCACAAACAGCTAAATGTGTTTTTTCAGCTGTTGGAGATTTTTATCTTTTCTTTCTCTAAAGCTGAGATTTTATTATTTTATTATTAAGTCTAATTACTGGAAAACTCAGTTTAGTCCTTTAATTAGGACTAAAACTCAAAATTACATGAAGCAAAC